TATGTAGAAAAATATCTAGGCTTCAGAAAAATATGATTCCAAGTTTGTTAATCTTCTTATGTCATGTACTTCCTAGGAAAAATATATTTCATGCATGTGCTGTGGAAAACTTTAGAGGTGTAGTTCAAGTACCTTAAATGGCTGATTTTTTGTTATTTTTGCTAGAGAGCAAACTTTGTATAAAACATGCATGTGATAATTTTGTACAGTCATTATATACCATGAAGAACCTAGGAAAAATATTAATTCTGTTGTTTGACACTTTTCATAGTACAAAGTAATTTCATGCTCATTTTTAGGCTATAGCTTGTCATTTTTGTGTAGGATAGTTTACTTATCCAAATGCCATGAAATTTTATGGTAGTCTGTTTAGGGTAGTAGTATGCTACTGTAATTTTCTCAGATTTTTAGGAGCATCAGAAATATAGGTTGCTATTCAAACCTATTATTAATTAGGGTTTAAGCAAGTGTTGCCTTAAGTGTGATTAAGAAATTAGTAAAGCTTTGGTGTATCTTTGAAGCATTTAATAAAATATGTTGACTTAACATATTGGTAGTAGAAGAGAATGCAGATAGATGACATGTGCTTGTAGCATAGTTTCTTGGATGATGTTGTCTACCTTGCCTTTCAACATATTCATTGCATTCATCTCCTTCGATGCACCGATTGCATAGGCACTTACACGCATTGCATCATACAGGATCGCAAACCGAGAACCCAGTCGTCATACCCGAGGAGCCCGAGGAGCGCTTCGAGGTGCAGCACGCGAAGTGCCGAGGTTTGACGAGGAGGACGCGTTGAAGAACTTCCGGAGTGCCCCGATCACCGTCCCGAGCTCCTTGAGAGAGGCAAGCCCGAGCATCTTTCTCCCGGTTTGCAATGATTTCGTTAAATGCTTTACTTTAAATTGATGCATTACATTCAGGAGTTGTTTGCAACCGTTCTTGCATTATACCTTGTTTACCTTTGTTATACTATATCCTTGTTACCACGGTATCCGCAATCAGTCAATGCTTAACGGCTTAGACCGGTAGAAGTCGGGTGATTTCTGTCACTGCGAGCTATAGGTGGTTACCGGATCTGTTTGGATGGCTATGAAGTCATGGTATAACTAAGTGTTAAATGAAGTTGAGACCGGGCGGAGACTTGCGGGTTTTTGACCGTAGTGTTTCCGTCACAGTGTCGATTAAGGACCGACAGTTGTTGGGCCTCGAGTCATGTTGAACGCATGCCTTACATTTAGCCGGCGGATAAAGTACCTTCCGACCGCTGAAGTCGGGAGATTTTTTCGGGCCGAGTAGATTGCCCATGACGCCTTTGTCCGTGCGAAGCAGTGTGGTAGGACACGGGCGGGATGATAAGACCAAAGTGCGCGGTCATTCGGCCCCTTGTACATGTGGTTCTGGCAAACTCGAGATACCGAAAGTTGACTCGGTGATCAATATCTCACTTTAGCGGGTGAGTGAGATTTGTGTAAGAATAAATCACCAAATGGTTAGGAATCGATTCAATCGCCATCGCCTCTCTGGATAGTGAGCACTTGACTTGAGTTACTTCATCGTAGTAAATGTTTATGGAACACTTGGACGAGTTATAGTGAATATGACAAGATGGAAGTTGTTTAATGATCAGCGGTTATCATTAATTGCTTAATCACATGTTTACTCTAGTATAGGTGAAAATCTAGTCGACGGAGTTAATAATAATTAACTTGACAATACCGCTTTTAGAAAGGTTCTTGAAATGCTAAAAATGCTTCTTTTGCAAATGAGTCACTACCCTACTATAATGCCCGCATAATCTTTGGTGTCATTTATTTTCGGTTATGTCGGGTAAAGTCCATTTGAGTACCTTCTCGTACTCGTGGTTTTATTCCCACTTGTTGCAGATGGGCGGATGTATTACGGCTATTGTATCAACTCGCCTCTATCCTGCGATGGGTGATGCTTAGGACCATGGGCATGGTCATTCCTTACGCCTCATCTAATGCTTTTGTTGGAGATGATCATTCATTGGCACTATATTTGAACTCCGTGTGAGTGTGTGTGTGTTTTAAACAAATGACTTCCGCTACTTTTATTCGAACTTGTTTTGTAATAACTATGTTTAAACTCGATGTATCTCGTTATGGAAACTTTTATGTAATATGTGATTGGTGACCGCTAAACTCATTACGATCATGGTTTGGGACACGAGTTGGTTTGAAATCCTTCGTGATTTCACGGACTACCGGGTTATACTGGGCTTAAGTTTGCTCAATCGTCTGCTTTCGGTGGATGATTTTCTTACTTAATTTCGTATAATTGGTCGGTTCTCATTACACGCCGCTCCTTGGGCGGTCGCGTGCCGCACTGGTGGGCCATGACCAAGCCGCCGGAGGTGGCGATCGGCGGATAGGAGCAAGTGAACGGATAGGACCGAGTGCGTGGACGAGCGGCTTTTTATATTTAGAAAGCGAAGGAGGAGGGTCTTGGGCTAGTGTCGCGTGGCCTGTGGAGCGTCCGGGTGGACGGATGCCCATTTCAAATTATCGATTAATTATTCTGGCTTGGCAATCGTTCGAGGAAATAATTCCTAGCGCCTTGTTCGATTTGAAATTTGGTTGGTCATTAATTGGCCAAACTCACATGGGTACTATTTACACGAACCACCGGTGATTTCTCTTTCACATAAATGAACCAAAGAACGATATGAACCAGATCAACCCGAACAGGCCGTAGATACCTGAATTAGCCCTTAGAAAGGAAGGTAGAGCCGCAATACAAGATCAGATCCCAGACGGTATTGACGAGACGACCCCCGCATCTAGTGACAGACTATGGTAAACACTAACACGACGAAAGAATACCCGGTCATCCGGCTGTGCTATTGTGCTAACAATGTCCTGCTGCTGCCAGCATCGACGACACCAAATTTACTTTTTTTGTTTTAATCCCTTTCATGCTTATCTAGTTTGATATTTGCCACAGGAGCAACGGTGAATTGGATGGATTGGTCACCTCCTCACGACTTTGATCAAATGTGAGCTAGCGTGCCGATCAAAAAAATGTGAGCTAGCGTGCTTAGGGCCTGTTTGTTCGATTTCTTATGAGCTTTTGGGCCTCAGCAATTGGATCTTTCAAAAGGCAAAAAAAAAAAAAACTCCTAAAAGTCAAAAGCCAGATGAACGTTTTGCTTATGAAAGCTGTTTGGATTTTGAAAAGTTCAAAAGATAGTAGTCTAAAAGTGGTCAAAAGCTTAAACAAACAGGATCGTAGTGTCCACCCTATTGCGGAGGCAGCGAAAACCCTAATCGCACGGCACCAGCAGCAATCAGGTCGGACGTCTAGGGATCTATGGACAATAGAAACCAAGAGGAAAGCAATTGTATTGTATCCCTTTTTTAAAAAAAAATAGCTAACAAACTGAATTTACAAATCTGTCTTTATATAAGAATAAAAAAATAAAATTGGTACTTTTCCCATCTTTTCTATACCCACTTGTTATTTCGAGTATTTTCTCATTGGTACCTTATGTTTTTCTACTGTAAGATCTCGACCGATAGATTGTTCATGTCTTTTTCAACCATTATAAAAACATTGAGGTTTATTATTGTGCTTTCCCAAGCAAATAAATCAGGTGTTGACCATTTTAAAAAAGTAATGACATGTACTTAAGGGAACTTTTGTACTTCCCTTAATAGACTTATCCAATCAACTCACGAATAGAATCCCCGAGTAGACAATCCACCTATAGGAGTTTGCTACCAGTGTCGTTGTCGCCCGCCTCCCCGGGTCGCCGTCTTCCCACGGCCACCTGCAGGAGCTTGATTCTGATTGCATAGTGGAATTTTGGCACTCAGTGACAACAACAAAGCATGAAGTAGCTATAAATCCACTGTGACACCCAGTGATATTAGGGAAAGATCTAGTGCATTTGCTTAGATAGTTTGTATCTAGTGACACTAATTCATCGATTGTTATTCTTGGTGGTTGCCATCATCTAGACGGCTTAGAGTAGCAAGGATTTTGAGCACCGTGTTGGTGATTGTTTGGTGGCTCGAATCGGTTGACTTGTGAGAGGTTTTGAGCCCACATCGTGAAGATTGCAAAGGACTACTCTAGTCGATTGCTCGAGGCTAGTTGGAGTGCTTCTTGTTAATTGGAGGTCAAGCATGAGAGGCTTGTTAGTGTACAAATCGACCACTTGAAGACTCGTCTCAACGAGAACGTAGGTTGCAGGCAAGCAACCGAATCTCAGGGATAAATCTTTTGTCTTCACTCTTGCCCCAGTGGTTGGCTACTTACACTTGTGCAATTACATTTTTATCTATTGCTTGTGTGTAGTAACTTGATATGGTTAGAATTGTAATTAAATGTACTAACAGGTTATCATAAATTTATAGGTATATAAACAATATAAAATAAAATAAATAAATAATCAAAGTATAATTTAGGAGATCGTGTAGTATCTAGCTATGCTTTATATACTAAAAGAGAACGTGTAATTTAGGAACAAATGGTAGGAATAACTTCCATCACGCTGTTTAGATATATACAACTTTGTGTCTTGGTTAAAAAGCCACAGCTGAATTACATGAAAACCAGCGGGCTCGCTTCTCCCATTCCCGTGGGCCATTGTCCGGCCCATCTTGTGAGGCCATTGTCCGGCTCATCTCGTGAGGGACTAGGAGAGAGAATCGAACCGATCCACAATCCAAATCCCACCAAGGAGCGAAGAGTCCTTCACCGTTCAGCAGCACCAGCGTTGGCATCGCACACACGGACGGACACGGCAGTGGCACGCCGCAAGCGCGCCGCGCGCGAGAGGGAGCCGGAGCCGGCTGCCTGCCTGCCTGCCTGAACGCCTCCGTCCACTGACGACTGGTAACGCTGCCTCACACTTGCCCTCTTCCCCAAACTTTCCCCACCCGGCCACCCCCGACCGCCGATCCACCACCAATCTAATCTCACAGCATCCTCCTCGCCTCGCCTCGCCGTCCCAGAGCGCCGCCGGTTCGATGGGTCGTCCGCCGAGCACCACCGGTGCTCCGGCGTTCCGCTTCCTCCCGTCCGAGGTGGCGGAGATGGAGGCGCGCCTGCAGCAGCTCAACAACGGCATCCCCACCCGCGGCGTGCTCCAGACCCTCGCCGATAGGTTCTCCGCCTCGCCCGAGCGCGCCGGCAAGGTGACCATCCAGCCCAAGCAGGTCCGTCCGTCGCCGCCTCCTACTCCTCCTGCTTCGTGCTTCCTTCATTTTTTTTCCATGCAAATCAAGTCGAATTCCCCCCACCGGCCACCGGCCCTTTCCTTCCCTTTATGGGGGTGATTTTGATTTTGATTTAGGGTTGCTTCTGACTCTGATCTGTGAAACTTGGATTTGGCTGCGGCTGGGCCCAGGTGTGGAACTGGTTTCAGAACAGGCGTTACTCGCACCGGGCCAAGTCCACCAGGGCCGCGCCGTCGCCGCCGGCTAAGATGACGCCCTCGGGGGCCGATCACCACCAGCACGCCGCCAACGCCTCCGCCTTCAGGGCCGCTCAGCCCTCTTCTGTCGCTGCTGCTCACCATGGCTCCTCCCCAACAGGTGATTAATTCTTCGTCTCCTCCTCCTCCTCCGCAGGTTATTCACTTACTGTCAAATGTCGTGATGCATTGAAATGCTCTACTGGGATGGGATAACCCGTACTGTGTGATCAACTTGTTGCTGCAAATGCACGGAATCCTACGAGAACGCAGCTACATGTAAGGTTATGTTCCTAGTGAAAGGGTTCCACCTGTTTCATGCAAAGATGACAATTCAAATTAGTTTAGGCGGCCTTTAGGGCACACTGTACTTTGTAGTTCCTTATCGGGCATTAAAGATTGCCACAGCCTAGGTTTTCTCTTTTCTGTTTTTTTTCTCCTCATGAACATGCCCTGCCCTGCAAAATCAACTGTGTGTTGTGACCGATGGGGCCCAGTTGCAAGCCCTGGACAGTCTGCAAGGCCCACCAACGAGCATGCAGGCCTTCGACAACCTATCTGAAGTCACACTCTAGCCCTAGTGGCATTGCCTTCCGCATCCTCTTCATTTGGTCCCCACTGGTGATGGCTGCAGAGATCGCGTGAGGCGTTGGGGAAGACCTAGGGGCACTGTGTTCTCATCTTCTCGACGTCGTTGGGCACCAGTTCGAGGTGACATGTGACAATTCCTTCATCTTTGCATGCTCGGAATCTATGTGCTGAAATTGCAAGAAATGTTGGTGTGCTGAAATGTCAAGAAACGTGGGTGCAACGTGGGGTCCAGTATATGCGGCCTCAGCGGTCATAGATATTAGCGGCAGCAGCAAAGATTTGTTGGATGGATAGCGCGAGGTGTCAGGGAAGACCTGGGGGCATCATGTTCTTCTCTTCTCAAAGTCGCTGGGCACCAGTTTGAGCTGAGCAATTCTTTCATCTTTGCATGCTTAGATCTATGTGCTAAAATGATATGAAAAAAACTCGGCCTGCGAGGGGCAAGACCGCCCCCCGGGTATTGTACTTAAGAAGAAGATCTTCTCACGCATCCGAGAAAATCCCGAACCCCCCCCCATCCATACATAGGGAACCGTAACTTTGTGAGTGGGCTGGCTCTTGACCTGTGCTTTGGCACAGGATAGACGAGGTGATATTTTAACCACAGCACTGAAATTCGCTCCCACGGGGAGTCGAACTCGAGACATGAGGAGTGCCGCTGAGACTCTCTAACCAGTTGGACTAGAGGCCCGTTGGCTGCTAAAATGATATGAGATGAAGGTGGAATGCGGGCGCCAGTGTATGTGGCCGCAGCAGTCATAGATATAGTGGCTGCGGCGGAGATCTATAGGATGGATAGAGAGGCATCAGTGAAGGGGTTGGTGTATGTTGCCACAGCGATATAGATATGGCGGCAGCAGCGGCGGTGAAAAATCATTAGGATGCATAGCGCTAGGCATCAGGGAAGACCTAGGGGAACTGCATTCTTTTCTTCTTGAAGTCGATGGGAACCAATTCGAGCATAGCAATTCCTTCATGTTCGCATGCTTAGATCCGTTTGGTGAAATGGCAAGAGACGTGGCTGCAATGTGGGGCCTGGTTTTTGCGTCTGCAGCGGTCGTAGTATAGCAGCAACGACGAAAGCGATGCCATGTACATGCTCATTCTGTTCTAGATGCTGGAATTGGCCAGGAGGGTAATAGGCTTTTTTATTCTGGCCATACAATCTGTTGGTCCATAAACCCTGAATGGTTTCCTGAACTGCTGAGTCCTGTAGAGTGCGAATATTTGGCTTATGCTTGCTGAAGGAACTTCTTCATCTTTAAAATTGCAGTAAAGGGAAACTGAGCTGGTTGGAATTTCTTGATATTTTTTTATCTTAATCAGATATCTCAGCCAAGTGTTTGTATAAGTCTTATTTTGATGTGATATGTCAGGCATTTAAGCAAATTGTTGTTGTCTTGTTTTGATCCAACAAAATTGCTCGCAGGTTCATTCTATTCTTTGTTGTTCTGAATCTACCTGTTCTGCAATCATAGTTTCAAATCTGAATTATGCTAATTGTGCACTTCTAATATGGTAAAGTTCTCCCTAGGATATCTAAATAGATTTTGGATATGGAATATGCAATATGAGTTCTGCAATCAAGCCTTCTAGAAATGGCTTGGACCCATATAGCTTTGAATTTCCTTCACACTGCAGACATGCAGTTCTGATCAGAACTTCTAGTTTTGAACTTGTTCAGAGGGAGGAAATACTTTGTAGTGTTTTTCTTGAGAACTTACCTTACTATTGTTAGTGTCAAAAGGATTTATGATTTGAAACAATCGAGGTTATCATATCGCCTTATTGATTATCGGGATTTTACATGATTCATAAGGACCTGTGAGGTGTTGAGTTGACTACTTGGAAGAAGCTAACACTTCTTATTTATCTTTGATTAATCGATCCCTTTTATTTGATTGACGATAGAATCACATTTGTTCTGTTATGGCTTTTTTTGTTAACAACCCCCCCCCCCAAAAAAAAAAAAAAAAGAACCAAAACACACACACACACACTTTTATTTGTTGCACCTGTTATATTAGTCAATCAGTATTGTATGATACTAGGCAAGCAAGCCAACTGTTGTGCACGTGCCATGCAGCATATGAGGGATTTTTTTTTTCGTCTGCAAAGCCCACGAAATGTTTGTTATCCACCATATTGGTGGACAGCCACAAAAAATTATTCATGATGAGCTTGGGGGTTTCTGCTGGCTGCAACCTGCCCTACCTACAAGGCTACTAGTGACCTAATCTCAACTGTCAATGCTTGTTAAAATGTTGATTGTGAGGGCATACTTATCATGTGCTGCTTCACTGCTTCTGGACATTAGATTATTAAGGGCCTGTTTGGTAGAGCTCCATATCAAATAATTTTTTTTTTGAGCTGGGCATTCCCTAGCTCCAAGAACACGTGATCGTGGGACTGGGGCCTGCCAAACAGGGATTTAGTTGTACCAAGTGATTTTAGTTTTGTGCATTCCATATAAACATTGCCATTAAATCATCATTGGTTATAATGTCCATTTTTCCTCTGATTGTTATTACCTTTGTTGACAATCAGGGAAGAACCCTGTGGAAGGTGTCTCGGTTGAGTTTGAGGCCAAGTCAGCTCGTGATGGTGCATGGTACCAAAATATTATCATATCTCATACTTCTATTATTGTTCCCTCTTTAGTGATGTGTTATCGTATTTTAACTTTTCATAAAGATGTATTCACTCTTGCTGAGTTATTGCTTAAGTTACTACACTATCTTTATCATCCATGCTATAACTTGAAGAGTCTGCCCAATGTCCAAGTTAAAGAAAATCTGAAAGTAACTAGGGGGCCCTCGTGCAGAAACTTTTTCTGAAAGCATTGGAGGAAGTTACATTATATCCATAGCAAAATGTTTGAAAGAAAAGAAGGGGAAGGGATGACAATTTTAAGGAATGCTTGTCTAAAGTTATTTGTTACATGTGGTATGTGACTCATTAGTGGCACACTTAGAGAACAATAAATGTATCTTTGAATTTATTCACTGTAAGTTTATAGGCACTTTCATTGGCAACAGAAGTGTTTTCTGGCTTCTTGCTCTATTCCCTTGAAATTGTCTCTCCTGTTTCTTTTTTTTTCTCGAACACGCAGGAGAGCTGCGTATCATTGTATTAGTAGAAGAAAAAAGGAGTCATACATAGACCCAAACACACTCACACACCCCTCCACACCTTCCCTGTTTTCTAAGGCTTAAGCACCTGTATCTCCTGTTTCTATTTTCCTTTTCTTTTAAATCATTTATATTCTTACATGCATGGCAACCTTATATGTTGCAGGTATGATGTTGCTGCCTTTCTGTCACAAAGGTTGTTTGAAACCGTGAACCGTAATGACCTCAGAATTTCATTGAATATTATTGAAGTCGCTATATAAAAAAAGGGCAGACCAGTGCGGAGGCTCCCACATGAGTGGGGTCTGGGAAGAGAAAAAACCGAGGCAAAGCCTTCCCCAAAAATATGCGGAGAGGTGCTTGAACCCATGACCTGGTGACTCGGTGAGACAGCTCTCACCACTGCACCAGGCCGACATTTCAAGTAGTACTTTAGAAAGCAGTATTCTTATAGTATAGTTATATATGATTCTGTTGTTGGCTCTCTTCTTACATTAGGATTGGATTTTAAAGGAGATCTGCAGTAAGTTATTCTAGTGAAATAGTGATGGTCTGCTTCAATACTTCTACTGTATTATGTTCAAACATGCCAATGTTATGGTCTCCTAATTGATGCACAACTGAAATCCAAAGCTTTACTAGGAATGTTTCATGTTTGGGATAGTGTCTGGATGTTGTTAAGGATAGATGCTCCATGATGTGGTAGGACCAGGAGGCCACAGGCCAGTAACCTGAGGCAAGGCAGCATTAGGATGGAGTCAATCCATAGGCTTAATCTTGGGTACAAGATTATTGGGAGTTTATAGGAGTCCTCCCTTTGGGATAAGCCCAATTATCACTACAAAATGGAGTTGATAGTACCTTTTTTTTTATGTTTTCCAATTGCAAATCCTTTTCTACCCCCCCCCTCCCTCATTAATTAAACCTTTTTAAGCATGACTCCACACTTGATGGAAACTATTTTGTCCTCCAGTGAACCATCTCTATCACGTAGCAACCAAAACCATATGGCACAATAGCTGAACTCCAGCTATCATTAATCTGTATGCTGGAGACATGTGCATACTCTTTAACTTTTCACAAAAAATATTCTGCCTTAGTACTGATCATTCTGAAATTTGAGTGTGGCACCTTGTCTATTTGACTGGAGATGTGAAAAAATTGATGCTTCCTTATATATAAAAGTGTGCATTTCTGAACCTGTGTTTTTTACATGCAAACTGTGATATGTCAGCAATTTTTCTGAAATGCCATATGTTTGTGTAAAGTTTTACTGTTACATTACATTGGTGTTATTGCACATGAAAAATACAAACTTTGCTTAATTTATGCATCATTTTTTATTTTTCAGGAAGTGCGGGTTCGTTTTTCTGGATTTGGGGCAGAGGAGGATGAATGGATCAACGTTAGCAAATGTGTGCGACAACGTTCTCTTCCATGCGAGGCCACAGAATGTGTTGCTGTGCTTCCTGGGGACCTCATTCTTTGTTTTCAGGTGTCATCATCTTAAAATTTCTTTCTCCTTAGCATCTGTGACTTCGAAATTTCTGTGTAACTGAGATTTTGTATTATAAATTTATAATTGTTGAGTTCTTATAAACTATCCAAAGGATGGCTTTTCTTTCTACCTGTAGAAGCAATAATCATTTGGCATCCCATTTTTTTCAAAATAGTTCCTTTGTTGGATTCTTATTTTTTGAACTTGTAACATTTTGGGTCAGATTTATCTCCCTAAACAGTTGTATCTTCCTAGTTTTTTTGCTTGTAACTGTGCACGTTAAATTGATTATGAAAAATTAGTTCCTTGAAAATCTGCCATTTGCTCCTTTCACTGATTGGTGGTCACATTGTCATTACAATATACTAGTAGTCTACTATCTCTGTGCATGAGGTGAATATTCTAGCCACTTTGTGTAGATGCCATGCCACCTTTGAACTTCTCAATAACAAGGCTCTGGCAACCTCCACCTGCACCTACTTTTCTTCATGTTGCATCGCTGCTGTCATTGCATAGTTAATGGCCACAACATTTGGTATAGAGCCGATAGGCACAACCATGAAATTTCTTACTTTATGTTTCCTGATTAAACTATCAGTTCTTTCATGAAATAAGTCATCAACTTGACAAAAGATCATAAAAAACATGTGAAAAACTGTCGCCAAATGTCCGGTTGCTTGTAGACAAACAATAAGCAGAGGTTAAATGTGCATGAAGACCACTGCTAAATGAAAAAGAAACCTACCAATGAAACTTCTTGACTATTCGGAAAGGTTTCAACAAGAGTTACTATTTTGTATTTGTAATCATTTGGGAGTCACGTTGTAAGTAAATCTTAGCATAGGACTCATCTGTTTTTCATCTGACATTGTTCTTTGGTGATTTCCTCCGGTTATGTGCTATATTTTTCAGGAAGGTAAAGAGCAGGCTCTCTATTTTGATGCTCGTGTCCTTGATGCTCAAAGGAGAAGGCATGATGTTAGAGGCTGCCGTTGTAGATTTCTTGTTCGCTACGATCATGATTCTTCTGAGGTAAATTTCCACATGTTTTGGTGTTTTCCATGCATTGTCTGTTAAGTATTGTAGTAAAGCATGTTGCTGAGCTGGAAGTTAAATTTCCTTTCTTCTTATAAACTCGTGTATGGTTGCTCCCCACCCTCTTTTTTGGCATTGATGCCCTGAAATTATTATTCCCTTAACGAATGACAAATTGTTTTTGGATTAAATTGCAGTATAGGTTCATGAAGTTGTACAGTTATTTCAATTAGGCACAACAAATTTAGGTTCCTGAACGTGCAAGAGCAAGTCAATACGTGCTCAACCAGTGCATTAGCTACCTTGTGCAGTAACTGTTGATTGCTTACAGAAATTTAAAGACTAACAGCCTGTTAAGCTTGGTCGTATTTGGCTTATAAGCCATGGTTTATCAGCCAACGAACAGTATTTTTCTCTCACACCAAACCAGCCAACAGATACTTTCAGCCATGGCTTATAAGTCAAACCAGCCCAAACGAACAGGGAATTTATTGTATTACTCCATATATGCTAATGTCAAGCTGCATCCTATTATCACAATTTGTTTTGTTTTTTTTACTTAACTACCACATTATGAATGCAAATAGTACATTTGTTGATCTTAGGATAATTACCTCACTTATAGTTGATTAAACTTGAAATGAGACTGTTGCAATTAGCTTTTGTGCTGCCCTTATTAAATCGCACTCAAAAGTCCTTCAAACTTACAGGAAATTGTTCCGCTGAGGAAGGTGTGCCGCCGACCAGAAACCGACTACAGGCTTCAGATTCTGCATGCTGCTAGAGCAGCAGCCACGAATGCAGATGTTCACACTCCACCCAAAGAAATTAAAGTGGAGTCGACATCCAATGATAAAAGCCCAGCTGAGCAGAAACCCCAGAAGCAGCACAAGATGATGGACGTGAACACTGATGAGGTGACCATGGTCTCCACCTTGGAACAAGACGAGACACAAGTCAAGACTGTAGCCCCCTTACCGTCATCAACCGTGGAAACCCGCAATTCAAGTTCAGATGCGGTGATGAAGGATGCGGAGGCTTCCTCGGTGGTTGAAGATGACGATGAAGTGCAGCTGGTTGACATGATGAAAGAGGGCTAGTTTTTTTTTTCCAGCACATTTTGTGTTTGAATGACTTGATGTTGTGGTACAGAATTTTCTAATTTAGCTTGTAAGTTTTTCTAATTTATTGTGTAATCTAGGTCAGTACCTGTCTTAATTACCATGTAGCATCTTAATGGCTTCAGAAGGTTGCTTCTGGATAAATGAGGTCATGGATCGATCTTGTTCTGTTCAAGACGTCTGTGAACCTTTGCCTTGCCTGCGCCTTTTTGTTTGGTCGATGACTTTTGGTGAAATTGAACCTGGGATTGTTCCGTGTCTTCAAGGCGGCGCTGCTCTCGTTCGCAAGCGAACACGTATTACGGAAATCCTCCCGTTCGGACGGACAAACCCTATACTCGCCCATGCCGTTCCCGTTTGCGTCGTCCGCTCGCTCTGCTCGTGGGACGAATCCTGCCCCCGCACGGGGACCTTGGCGTGCTAGGAGCTCCCTAGCTCGCTCCTGGACTCGCGCCTCCCGTCGCGGCCGTGCTCCATCCGCCTGCCCCTGCCGAGGTTTGTGCTACAGACGAGCTCCACATCGGCGACCTCTGTGACTTCAAGCTTCGTGCCGGCGTCGAGCTCTGCGTCGATGAGCCTTCATTCGTCCAAACAGTAAGCAGATGCTACGTTGAAAGTGCATGTTGCAATAATATGTTTCAAGTATTTTAGATATTTTAGAGATATGTTGCAAGTGTTGTATATCGATGTTGAAAAAAGTAGATCAGGATGTTGTACATGTTGTAATGGCTATACACGTACGTTTTAAGTGTATGTTTTAAATGTTTCATCTATTCAAGGCTAATGTTGCAAGTGTTTTGGCTGGATGTTGCAAAAGTAGATCTAGATGTTGCATATACATGCATGTTGCAAGCATATGTTTCAAGTGTTTTCAGGTGATCTGGATGTTGCATATGTTTGTAATGGTTTTTAAATGTTTCTCATGCATTTCCGCAAGTGTTTCGGACGCTTGTTTCAAGTGTTTCGCATGTCTTCTTTTTAATGTTGCAACTGTTGTATATAGATGTTTAAAAAGTAGATCAGATGTTGCACATGAGATGCGCGTAGGAAGCGACCGGTGGCACGGACGACATCTGAGGCGGCGTGGGCGACGTTCGGGGCAACGCGGGACCGCTACTGGTGCGCTCTCTCACGAGCCTAACGCGCTAGGCAGTGTCTGAATGCTAGCGTCCAGATCGAACGTCCGGGTGCTGCCAAAGTCCACGAGTATTACGAGGTTCTGTAACCATGTGTAAGAACCCTCACTCACTGCTTGATGCTTGTCTCGCGCACGAGCAGCTCCAGGGACTGTACACTGTAGTGGTGTGTAACTGAGAGAGGAAAGGGTGCCCACGGCTGCGCTCCCGCATGGTTGGACCAGCCCATGATGGGAGAGGGGAGACAACACGGGGATGGCGGATCGGGAACAATAATAAACAGTGTTTCGATGGTGCTTGAACTGTACGGATGACTCCGGAGCCGGCGAATCCTTATCAAGGGGGCTTTACTGTTCTAAAGAGTACTCTATTTTCTTGGCTAACTTTATAGGCACACCAATTTGTTAAGTGGGCTGATCGAATTGGACTATAATAAGAGCAGAGATTGTTTAGATGTATTTCTTCCTTATACAAAGTGAATCAGTTCACACATGTTTTATCAGTAAGAGACTGATAATTTATTTTGGGAGTATGAATTTCATAGATGATTATAGATTTTTTTTTTCTAAACCGAGTGAACTTTCCTTTGAATGGGATTTAAGTGAAACCACTCAACAAACAGAGTGTGTCGCCTCATTCACCGCTTTTTGAACAAACTGATATAGTATGGTTTTGTCTTTAGGGAAAGAGAACTGAACATGGACTTAAGTAGCTTTCCGTCGCTTAGCATGTGTGTGAATGAACAGTCACACCCTGATCCCTTATCTCCCAGGTATCTGTGTTGTTAGGGAAAGAGATCTCTACATGACAACGCTCGGGTCTGACCAAACAGTCCGGTGCGCGACGACGGGCGAGCGATACGAGCCTGATCATTTGGCTGTGGCTCGTCGTAAACGATCGTAAATTTTTAGCCGGAACAGTATTTTTCTCTCACACAAACTAGCCAGCAGTACTTCTTCACAAATCAGCAACGAAACGAACCAGCCAACCAAACAGGCTGATGGGAACTCGTGTGGCTGGCGCGTAGCCCAAGCGATACGGGAGCACGCAGGCACGGCGTAGTGGGAGGAGTGGCCTGACATTCAAGGGTTCCGAACACGGCCACGCTACGCGGAGGCGGCACGACCGGTCCACAGCGTTTGGGGGAGGTCCCTGGTCCATTCTCTTTCTCCGCAGCGGCGGCTCTAACGGAAGTGAAACAAGCAGGGAACGATGATTAAGCGGATTTTGAACGATCTGAGTGTCCTCGCTTAACCTCTAGAGAATGGTAGAGCTCAACGTAATGTATCGACGACCTGATTCGGGTACGAACGGTCGAGATTTTTCTGTTGACGGGGCCGAATGAGGTGCTGAGCATCTCTGGGGGCACATTTTGTCTTTTAAAAGATTTGTCAAGTGGCCCGCTTGTGAGTTTGGAGGGAAAGAAATAGGATGATAGACGGTTAAGGCTCTAGAAATTGATTTAATCTCAGATATTACTGTGGAGATTTATTTAGGGAGAAAGAAAATCCAACATGGAGTGGAGATTACTGTTGGCAGCTGTGGTTGCAGCAAGTCCAGGCAGCCGAAACCGCTACTACCCAAAAAAACGCAGCCGAGCACAGCCCACGTTCCTTGCGGGCGACGCCTCCAGCCTCCACTCTGCTGGCCTGGCCTGGGCTGGGCAGCCGACAGACGACTCGTACTCCTACTAGACTACTACTGTGCTACATGCTACAGCAGCGGTCAGCAGCAGAGTGGGCCAGTGGGGCCTTCACTGGCGCCTGGCGAAGTGGTCCCAGGCTACTTGCAGCATGTTCGGCTGGGGCTAAAACGATCGTATACGATCGTGGATTATTACTGCTGGCTAGTTTGGTGTGAGAGAAAAATACTGTTCTGCCTAAAGATTTACGATCGTTTACGATCCAGCGAACAGGCTTTTGGAGTCCAAGAAACCAGGCGCACGCCATGAGGCACACCACGCAGCGGACGTGCCGTTCCACGCCTAGATGGACGGGGCGATAGGAACCATTCATCCGGGAACCGACCGCTTCAATCCTCTGCTGCGCCCGGTCCGGTCTGGTCGGTTCGAGGCCGGGGTGGGTGGGACCCGCAGTTCGTGAGAATCACGCACGCGACGCGATGCTGCAGGCTGCATGCTGCGGCAGATGTAGGACCTAGAGCCTGAACGTCTGCACGAACACGTGCACACCTACATCTGCACCCTGTTCCCGTGCTTACACTTTGCCCTCGCACCAGACCGACATGGCCACTGCGCCTCACCCGACCCCACGCGGTGCCTCACCCGACCCCACGCGGTGTCTGTGCCCTCACTGACCCACGTGGCGTCTTTGCACCGTCCGTCCTCTCAGTGGCGGAGCTCGTCAATTTTGACGCCTAGGGCCACTGTCAAAGAATACATACCGTCTGTACCGAATCAAGATATCGCCCGCACCGGGTCTAATACTGATAGATAACAAAAGTAGCTTATAAATACATAGGTTGATATGAACATCTCAATTTCAAACTTAAATCCACAACATAATAGATGGGAAACATGCGCCTGGTCCGGTCTGGTCGGTTCGAGGCCGGGGTGGGGTGGGACCCGTAGTTCGTGAGAGTCACGCACACGACGCGATGCTGTAGGCTACAGGCTGCGGCAGATGTAGGACCTAGAGCCTGAACGTCCACACGAACACGCGCACACCCGCTCGGATTACCCATCGACCCCGACAAGGCACACCGCTCCGATCGCGTGGTTACGGTGAACATGCCTCTTCCCGCGTAGGACGAAACCAAACCCACCTGAAACAAAGGCAACATGACCTCTCGAGGTTGGCAAGGGCACCAGGAAAGAGTGGAGTTGGGTCCCTGTGACCTCGTAAAAAGTCAGGTCCAGGCCTCGACTGACTCCTCCCTGTGCCCCAGGTCCCAGACCTAAGGCCAGCTTTGGAGACTCACAAACAGTCAGAGGTCCATGACCTCTCTGGGAGAGATTGACAAAGCAAATGGATGGGGTGATGCACAATGCGGAGCCCAAAACGTGATCACGGCTCAGTCATGTGGAAGAAGCAAAAGGTTCAAGACCTATGAGCCAACGCACGGTCACAAAAAAACTCATGACTATGCGCGCGGAGGTCGAGGAAGCATCTCCTCGCATCGTCTATACGAGAAGAACCCACCAAGGACCTCAGGCTGAACCCGTAAGTCCGTCCCCCGTGACACGGAGGATCGATGCCTCTGCAAGGAAAGCGTGAGCATCGAGAAATGTAACACCTCGGTGCTAAGCATGCATTAACATTTTGCAAATCATGATCATAATCATTATTATGCATTCATAAGCATGACATGAAAGATAGAATTGAAATATATTAATGAAACAGGTACGTGTATAGTCTTGTTTTAATAGATTGGATGCTATGTTTGTTTTGCCATGTGTGTACCTTGGTTGATCACTTAGACAACTTAGAAGTAATTAGAATGCATTTTGGAGCAAAGTTTATATTCAAAATTTTGCCAAATTATGCTTTTAAAAATAATTCTTCAAAAATTGGGTTTTGAATTATTATTGATTTTTATTTGTAATTCAAAATCTACTTGGAAATTGATTTTGGTCATAAAAGCAAAGTTGTAGATCTCGAAAAATGGAGCAACTTTCATTTTTGCACCAAATCTTGAAAATGATTTTTGATTGCTCAAAATGATGAATTTGGGGCTGTTTGAATTTATATTTTAAAAAGAAAATTGTTTCATTTCCTTAGCGGGCCGTCGCCCTCGCTTCTCGGCCCACGGCCGAAGCCGGCTCGGCCTGCCTCAGCATGCCCATCGCCGCTTTCGCCCGCCTGCTCTGCCCAAAGATAGCTT